TTTTAATCTTTAAGCTTACTTAAATCTTCTTTCTTCAAGAAGGAAATTCTCCTAGTATACAGCAACTTGCTTTTCAGAAGGTTTTTAATTCCAAATAAACTGTTAATAGGTAGTTTCCTTTGCCAATTGAAAGAGGAAGTATATGTGAATCTAGTGTCCTTTTGAAGGCTCTGAGTTTGGGCTCAATGTTTCCCATGACTCCCAGAGTGTTCAACCTGCTGGAGATCACTAATTTGCAAAGTCTTCACAGGGAGCCTCTGTAAGGAGTACACGTGGGTGATATCATCTTTGTCCAGAGATAGTTCTGAAGAACCAAATCCTTTGTCGGCTCCTCTTAACTGCCATGGCTGTCAGCTCCACAGAAATAGAGCCATCTTTAATCCACCATTACTCCCCCAGAAGCCTTCCTTGTAGATATTTCAAGACAAAATTGAGCCTACAATTAAATGCATGACTACCTTAATCTATCAGTTTTACCTTTAACAGTAGTTGCTAGCAATGAGGAACTGGACTGGGATCATGGCACATGAGAAGGATTTTTAAAACCATTTCCTACTATCCCACTATCCCACTTAAAATCCCTCCCCCCAAATCTATAAAGAAAATCCTGTTGGCTAGCAATATGCTTCACTTTTAAGGGCAATGGGGCATTCAAATCAATTACTCTAGGAAATAGTAATAGTAGAAACTGAGATAAATATAGATGACAAAAATGGTATAAGCTGGAAAACTCAAGATATGTACATCCATGTCAGACCTCAGCTTGTTTTCAGTCTATTGCATCAGTGATTTTAATAATGCTTTGATTTGCTGGAAGATTTCATTTGTTACAATATTGGTTTGTTTTCAAACTTTTCCCATATAGGGTTAGAGAAATTTCAGGGTACCTTCTTTCACAGCCGGGAATACAAAGGCCCTGAAAAGTTCAAAGGGAAAAAAGTTCTGGTGATTGGCCTGGGGAATTCTGGAAGCGACATTGCTGTTGAGCTTAGTCATACAGCCTCTCAGGTATTGCCTCCACCCTGATAGTCCTGCTCTAATTCTCAGCATAACCCATTCAAAGCTATGCCATTCCTATGGAGTCTATTTCAAAGGGACTTAAATGTGCTGTATTTAGACTGACTTGTGCATAGGGTAATAAGAAAAATTAGGGATTACACATGGGGACTTTGAGGTGAATTACATGCAGAAGGTTCCAAGCTCAATTTCTAATACATCCAACTAAAGGAACTCTCCATCAGTATGATAGGGACCCATCACTCTGAGGCCTTGGAGGACCTTTGCCAGTCTGTCATAATGGTCTAAGATGAGTTCACATTGTATTAAACCGTAGCTTAACTGGGAGTTGCACTCTCAATATTAAGTTACATTAAGGGTTACAATATCAGAGACTGGCTTCACATAATATATTAAGCCATAAGGAAGCCTCACTGATTTCTATGAACAGAAAATGTCTATGCAGTCTGGATCCTCACAGCATGAGAAGCCTCCAAACTTGGTTAAAAAGACTTTATATAATGGAGGGAGGTTGAGATGGTGGCATGCATGGCCCTGTAACATGGGTTTCATATTTTTGTATCCCATCCTTGTTTTTTAAAGGTTTGCATCAGCTCTAGAAGTGGATCCTGGATAATGAGTCGTGTCTGGGACAAAGGCTACCCTTGGGACATGTTGATTGTAACTCGCTTTGAGGCATTCCTCAGAAACATCCTCCCTACAGCCATCTCTGACTGGCTGTATGTCAAGCAAATGAACAGATGGTTCAAACACGAAAACTACGGTCTGATACCCGTGAATAGGTAATGTACTGAATGAAAGAGCTTACAGTGAGATCCCGTCAAAACACATTTCCGCTACCAGATCCATACTGGTGGGTGAATATATTGCTTATTTAGAAGGCTTATGTTCACCTTTTGATTGAAAGATCTTTAATACAGCTTTCAAAACATTATAATAGGCAGACTAATACAATCCAAAGCCCATACCACAAAGCAAACTTTAACTAATTCCTAATCAAGTCAGAGTGGATATGCTGGTTGGAAATTATGGAAAATGTTCTAACATATCTGATGATGGGCCCAAGAATGGGAAAGCTGTCTTAGCATATGAATAAGTCACTTGTAAAGCGAAACCAGGGAAGAATTGTTCAAATGTATGATTAGAGAGTAACTGTATCAACTATATTTAATTTAAATTTTAATGTTGATGTAAATAAAACTAAATCAAATTCAGTTTTCTTCCTATCCTTTACTTCTGGTAGTGTAAACTCTGGCCACTCAAAAGCCAAGTATGGCCTTTGGCCCAGAAAAAGTTATACACTCTTGATATAGACACTTCTCCTTTTTTCCTGTAACATATGGTTTGACTTAATTTCCTGAACCATTTAAATTACCCCTAAAATCAGAAAAGTTCCACCCACATGGGGCACCATTTTGTACAATGCTAATAATGGCACACTAAAATTTCTACAATATTATTAATGTGTCCATATCATTTTCTACATGATATCTACAGATTTGTAGAAGGATCCTGCTTTTTGATAGCATTGAACTAAATTATCTTCAAATACATTTGTCCTTTGAATTATATGAAGTAATGTAACATAACAGAATCTTGATAAGAAGAAGATACTTCTTACAATGTTAAGATTAATGTAAATAAAGATATAGCCTTATGGATTGAATTTATAAAGCTGAACAAGTTCAGTTACGTGCCTTGAAGCAGAATAAAAATTTGCCAAAGCAAAGACACTAATGGGGCGAGAAAAACCAAGTACGAACATTACATGCAATCATACTCTTTCATATTCTCTGAAAAAAAAGTAGCCTTAAAGTGTCAATCCTGTTATCTTGCTGAAAAGAAATCAACATTTTAACTAAACATACTTTAGATAAAATGATAATAATAATAATTTGACTTTTCCAGGAAAGATACTATAAACTATAAGAAGAAATCTATAAATAAATCACGGTCTATCTGAATTGTTAAATAGTTTAAATATTCTTCTGAAGTGAGTTTGATTTGTGCAAGGCACATGGTTCATTTTATACAAACACTGAGATTAAAAGAAAATGGTCAAAGTTCAGGAAAACTATTATTTTCCTATCCATATCAGCTCAAAGCCAAAATCCAATCAGGAAAATGTTACATCAACTTTTATGTCAATCCCAATGAACTAACACAGTTTCACTCCTTAACTTTTTCTTGGCGGGGGGCGGGGGGTCTTGAAAGCTTCAATACTTTTAGCAGAAAACCTGAAGAATTTTAAACATTTTATCTGGGGAACAGAAGTCTGTTCAGTGTAAGAATCCCTACCACAGTTCTACAAGTAGGACTGTTTTATGGTAGTCATGGACTGTGATGTAGGGCCAACTTGCAACACAAGATCTGGAATCTTCCAGATATAGCCCTAGATTAACACTATATATTGATTCCTATAAAACAAGATGAGGGGGAAGGAGGAAGAAACAGTGATCACTGTTTCTTTAGAAGAAAAAAGATCACTGACAAAATGATCTGGAAACAGAACAGCAGCACTATGCAGGCCAATCCAGTTCGGATGACCAGTTGATCTGATCTACCAGCTAATGGGTGGAGTGGCCTATTGGAAAACCCCATTGGTCTGATTTCTCTATTGGCTAATATGGAGAGGCATTAACCAGTGGGTAAACTGGACTGCTCATAAGTCCTGTTGGCCTGATCTGCCCATTGGCGAACTCAGAACTGTGTCAGCACCTGCTTGTCTGAAAATCCCATTGATGTGAGGCAGATGTGCATTTACCATTTAAGCTACTGCTGTCTTGTGCTCCTGTCTGCTTCAGTCCCATCCAGACTATGTCACTTGGCAACAGCTTACAAAATGTTCAATCCAGATCGCAGGCTACCACAGCCCCCCATGGGACAGTTCCCTTGCTGTTGTGCCTTCCCACCTGTCTCTTCCATCAAAGTAGTGGCCAATCACTTTCCTTCCCGTGGGCTTACTGGACATATATGTCTATATGTATGTTGTATGTATGTGTAAGGTTCTTGGTTCAAAACTCAGTTGAACCCTTTTTTTAAAAAAATACTAATTTTATTTTTCTAAACACCTAGTTTTCTCTCTGGCCTTTTTTTTTTTTTTTAAATAACTCCAGGGATACATCATTTTACCATTTTTCCAGTCACTTGAAGTAGAAGGGTTTCACCCCTGGCCCCTGCCCTTCTATCTTAGGTGAGTGGGAAAACAATAAAACAGTGTATCCCTGGATATTTGTTTTTCATAAAATCCAGTGAGAAAACTAGATGCTTAGAAAAGAAATCATAATTTAATATGCATATTTGTACGTACATGTTTATCTGTTTGTGTCCGTGTGTGTGTATTTACATTTCCCTGGAGAAAATCTATCTACAGTATGTGATCACTAAAAGTCGATGTCAACTTGATGGTCCATAATCAAGTCAAATATTCTGCCAGGTTTCAAATCAGCAGCTTTTTCTATGCTAAGCAAAACGATCAGATTCTGATTTATAAAGGGAAGTGCAGAACCTAAGAGCGCATGACAGGCATTGCCTTAGCTGAAGGGGCCACGAACTGCTGGACTTAGCCTGGCATCCTGAATAGGTAACAAGGAAAAGTATGCTTTGGAAGTGGAGCAGAAAAACACACCCTGAGGTCACCCTGGAGATGAGTGTGGGATTAACATAGGGTGATGCATCTGTAACTCCCCTCCAGAGATGGTTGCCTACCTTTCTGGCAATGGGGCAGCCAGGCAGTGCCAATAAATCCACCCTCTCCCAGGTAGACTGATGAAAGTAGGCAGCTGGAACCGCCTGCTGTCCCACTCTCAGACTGGTGGTCCGTAGCCTGATTTCACTGTCGCTCTGCCAGGGAGTGGGGGTGGGGCACACTTATGGGGCGCAGCCATCCCTTCAGACTGCTGTTGGTCTTCATTCTTGTACTGGAACTTCTCCCATGCTGATGCATTCCTCTGTCCTGGGTCTTGCTTGTACAAGTATTGGTGTATCGTGATTTTTTTTTGTTGGTTAGCAAAGAGTCTTCTAGATTTCATCCTATTTTTGTACTGCACTTCTTTTTCCAAAGAGACTCTTAGATGCACCAATGCTTGGGCTAATTCAGGGGAGAATTTTGCTAAGTCATAAAATCACTATTTCCAATTTAGCTTTAATTTGCCAACTTTCTAACTGCTGCAGAGCAGTCACATGCCTAAATATACAATTTTGCTGTTGTTCATTACTTTCTTTTCTTTTTTCTACTTTGTTATTCTATGATTCCTTTTGCCTTTGTTCTGTTTTATTAAAGAAAGAAAGAAAAAGAAACCCAAACCCTTTCTCTCAATGCATATGTCCAAAATGTGACATGCTAGTGATCCCAAGTTGCATTTTCTGTGAATTGAGCTTAATGTTTCTCTCTCTACATCTTTTTAGATGTGCAGTGAGTCTGAGATCATGCTCATTCCATATAGGCCCATATAATATGTTGTTTATGAATATCCCATCTCTTTGGAGTCCTCTTAAAACTCCACATTCTTTTTCCAGAAAATCTCATATGCTGATCAGATTACAGACAATAGCCTTATGTATCCCCCTCTCTCAAATGGCTAGTTGTGTGTGTATGTGTATGTATACACACACACACACACACACACATACATACATGCAACTAATGCCAGTATCCAAATAGTACACTGATATTTTCCAATGTGCGGAATTGATCAAGTTTCTTCCTGATGATTTGGCTGAGATCCATTACATCTGAATCAGTTCTGAATTGCTCTGAATTTTCTTTTCTGTTGCTATAATTAAACTTACCAATTATTACTATCTATTTATTTCATTTTCATAGGTGACTGTTGCTAAAAAGAGTTGGTCTTTGAATATGAGTGTCTGCATTGCCCTTGCCATTCTGAATCATGCCCTTCTCTCTTTTTCATACCTTTTTCTTTGTAAGGTTTTATAAAATGATGTTTTGGTTTGCAGTGTTTTATATGCTGCCAGGTGAGGACATTCCAGTTCATTATGTTGGGTTCCGCTACATCTCGGACATTGTCTCATTCTGTCATTATTTCTTTGCTTTTTTGTGTTTTGTACTTCTAGCTGTATGTACCCTTCTCCAACATTCACACTCTTCACCTTTGTTTTGTAAGACTCGCATTTGCATTCTTAATATTTACAAGGCTTTTGAAGTCTCGGCAGTAAAATCTAATTGTCTTCCTGCAATCGTTTGTTGTTGTTTGCATGTCTGTAGAATTTGATCCCATCAGAATTCTACCCCTTATCTTCTACCCCTTCTACATAGTGAAAAACACAGTATTTTAGTTCCAGTTAACAACTCAATTCAATTGTGAATTTGATTATGGATTCACCTGTGCTTGTTGTTTTTCCTAAGAACTTCCTCTGCATGTATATGAGCTGACATGATATATAACCTGCCTCAGACTTTGCAAATCATATATTGAGTTTCTTCTTGTAATAGTAATCTATGCTCTGCGCATAGCTCTTTCTACAACTTTTTGCTCTTAAAATCATTTGTCAACCTTACAAGGTATTGTTAAAAGAGCTGGATATTTTACCCTGAATCAGTAATATATAAGTAATATAAGTAATAAATAAGATTAAGGGGAGACTTGATAGCATGATCTGAATATCTGAAGGCATACTACATAATAGATAGAGAAGACTTGTTCTGTCTTGCTCCAGAAAGAAGGAAAAAATGAACCAATGGGTGAAAACTTCAGGAAAGTATATTTTGACTTAACATTACAAGCAACTTTTTAATGGTGAGAGTTGGTTGGCAGAAGTGCAGATAGCTGTGGAGAGTCCTGTAAGGCAGGGGTTCCTAACTTTTTGCCACCACACCTCCCTTTTGTGTAATCTTAATGTGCACACCTCCCCTAAAAATCCAAACACCAAAATGAACACAAATGAACAATGAAAACACTACAGTGAACCTTTGGGAAAGATGGATTTTTGTAACAATGGAACTAAAAGGTTCTTTGCACCTCTCCAAGGGAGGTACACCTCATAGTTTGGGAAACCCTGCTCTAAGGGAAACTGTCAAGAATGCTATAGAACAATGTTTCTCAATTTTAGCAACTTTAACAAGTGTGGACTTAAACTCCCAGAACTAAATTCTGGGAGTTGAAGCTCACCCATCTTAAAGCTGCCAGGTTTGAGAAACACTGCTATAGAAGATTTGGAAGTGAGCAGGGTGGGACATGTTTCCCAAGGTCCATTCCAACAGCTAAGAAAAAAAAAATGTTTCAGTGCAAAGTGGCTAAGACAGAGCCATAAGTTTGAAAGTGCTCCAGGTGGGTGGCTGAAAATATGGATCTGATCAATCTGATGGGAAAATGTGGTATCTTTGGGGAAAGACGGAACCATGGGGGAACTCACTGGATTAGGCCCACAGCCCAGATATTCCTCATTATGTGACATATCTCTTTGGTGTTTTTTCTCTCATGAGCTGTTTTTTATTCATTTTACAAATTGTTTATCCTTAACTGGGTCAATGGCAAGTCAAGCATGCATGGCTTTTCAAGACCAGAGGCCACACTTGGCCTTGCAATTGTATGATGGGGTCACATCCCAAAGGTGATGAGATCAGGACAAGAACTACGATTCAAATTTAATTTAAATCAAATTCAGTTACAAATATATTTGTCAATTCCTTCCCTCTGTCACATTAAAATTGTAATTTGGTAGCAACTCTTATATTTACAAGAAACCTTAGAGCCTGTGGTTTTGCACTTTGGCCCAGGTAACACTTAACATCATTCATGAATGTATTTAACTAAAGATGTGCAGTTTTAAAAGTAACAACTGGCTGAGAATGTCAGTATGGTCAATTTCTCTTGAAGCTAGGCTGAAATGCCAGGTGGAAGCCTTCTTTTCTTTTAAACATGCTTTACGGAATAAACAATGAAGTGTGTGTGTTTGTATGTGTATCAAACAGTAGGACAATGTGATATGAAAATTTAAACCTGAAAAAAAGTATAGTGTGGAAGAATAAAATGCCTGAGAATTTATATCATAAGCAAAACGAGCAAAATGCATTTGATCAAATTGTTCAAAAGTTCTCTTCTTTTTCCTATGTTCAAAAAGAGATAAATTACAATGTTGATGAACAGCATGTATTAGCATTCCATTGCTGTAGATCAGATAGAAAGGATGAAGACTTTCTAAGGACCAGCAAAGACCAAGAATGATCCTGCCCCCAACTCTCTTTCATGGGATCATGAGACAGCAACAATAATGTTTGTCCCTTTTTAAAAAGTGGTATCTGCCAATTTAAAGGGCCCCCCTGCAGTACTGCCTCTCTTCTCTTTCTGCCTAGGACTCTGCGAAAGGAGCCTGTCTTCAATGACGATCTCCCAAGCCGCATTATCTGTGGCACTGTTGTAGTGAAACCCAACGTGAAGGAGTTTACAGAAACCTCTGCAATATTTCAAGATGGGAGTGTGCTGGAAGGCCTTGATCATGTCATCTTTGCTACAGGCTACAGATTTGCCTACCCCTTCATGGATGATGAATCCATTATAAAGAGTAGAAATAATGAAGTCACCTTATACAAAAGCATCCTTCCCCCTCTGCTGGAGAAACCAACCATGGCAGTCGTTGGCTTAGTCCAGTCCCTTGGATCTGCTATCCCAACTGCAGAGCTTCAGGCTCGCTGGGCTACAAGAGTATTTAAGGGTTAGTGTGGTGATAAAACTGTGCATCAGGAAGTCCCTGTTTCACCTCTCACTTGTCATTTTCATGTCTTCAAATTAAGCAAATTACTAACCATAATCTTATATGAATCATACAGAGCTGGTTTATATTCAGAGTAAAACTTGACATCTGATATGGAAGATCCATGATCAGAATCTATATTTTTGTTTTGGTTAAAGCCAAAGTACTCTGAATGATCTTCCACCTTTAATATTTTCTGCATTTACCTTTCTTTCTTGAAACTTCTCTTTGATTATTGTTTGCTTATATCCAGCTCCTTAAATCATATTGAAAATCCAGGCTGTATATTTTAAAGTAGCCCATTACAACTCTTCACTTAAAGTAATGCAGCATGTATGAATAAAGAGGTGGGCAGAAGGATGTGCTTATTGTACCTGTAAAAAAGAAAGTGAATATCACGAGGCATCATAGCCAATTCTTCCTTCTTTTACAGGATTATGTGAGCTGCCTTCAAAGACCACCATGTTGGATGACATAGATGAGAAAATGGGGAAGAAGCTCAAATGGTATGTATTAATTGCAGATATGCCATTTTAAATATCTGCCCATATAAGAAATGTTCATACCATCACTTCAACTCCAAGTCCTAAAAAGTAATTTGGAGACAATCATTGTCCTGATAGTCTAACACTGAGAAGGAACAAAAAATCTCTGCTTCTTGTAAAAAATCTGGAGGAGTCTGGTAGCATTTTTTCTGATATTATTTAAAGGCGTAAGTTTTCATGAGCTGCAGCTCACTTCACTGGATGAAGTTACTCCTCTTAACAACTAAAATCCTCTCACCTCATCATGCAAAGGAGAAATAAGATAAACAGACTCAACAATCATGGTCCACATCCTTACTTCCTGTTCTATGTATCTGTCAGGTTGTATGTAGAAAATAAATAAATCCCAGCAGACCTTATGAAGGAGACCAGAGAAAGCATCAATCCACTTTCCCCTTGAAGGACCTGAAGCCCAGTGCCAGGCAGGATGAGGGAAGAGTTTTTGCAAAATCATCCCCAAACTCTATGGAACTGCAGTATTTTTGCTGAACTTGGTTTTCCTTCTGAGTTTCAGCACCAACTATTCCTTTTATCTATCCATATATTTGACCCATGACTTCCTAACAGAAACCAACATTAAAAAGGGGGGGGCACTTTCCTTAGTTTTTCCTTGCTCTCCTTAGAAGTGCTTCTACCAAACTTTCTCCTTTTTTTCTTTTAAGGTTTGGCCAGAGCGATACCCTGCAAACAGATTATATTCTCTATATGGATGAACTCGCCTCCAGCATAGGTGTCAAGCCCAACATCCCACTTCTCCTTCTGACAGATCCCTGGCTGGCACTGAAAGTCTTCTTTGGCCCCTGCAGTCCATATCAGTTTCGTCTCACTGGGCCAGGGAAATGGGATGGAGCCAGAAATGCAATCCTAACGCAGTGGGACCGAACGCTGAAGGTCACAAGGACACGAACTGTACGCAACTCTCAGAAGTGTCTTTCTTTCTTTGTTTTGCTCAAAATCCTTGTCATTCCTCTTCTCGTTGCTGCTGTTTTTATGGTGTTGACCTAAGTAACTTCAATGTCAAACTAGACAATGCCATGGAATTTTTAACTATGTTTTATTGGAAAGCAAAATATTTTTAAT